TGTTGCCAGATGGTACTTCCGATAAAACAGTACTGGCTTTGGAGCTGGGAGGTGCTGCTGGGATGGTGATGGTGTGCTGGCAGGGGAGCTGGCTGAAAGTCCCTCTCCGGAGGAGGGGGTGCTCGAAGGGACGGGCTAGAGCAGGGCTCCCAGGAGCTGCCCCCACCACATCAAGCATATGAGCAACTCCCGGAGCGACTCCTTGTTTTCTTAAACGGGAGCACGTGTCTGTGCTCGTGCCGGGGTGGAGCTGATGAATTTGGATCTGTCCATGTCCCATAGTAAGGCCAGGATGTGGCCTGCATGGATTAAGCAAGGCTGCTGCTGGCTCTCGTCACTTCAGGCTTCGCTTCCACTTCAGAGCTGGGCACGGGTGAGCTTTGCCCTCCTGAAGGTGCTTGGGGGGGGCAGGAGCCCTCGCCCCAAAAAGGCAGCGCTGTGCCCTCGGGGCTGTGCCCTGAGCGAGAGGAGCCTAGCCATGCCCAGGCAGCTCCGGCGGGATGCCCAGGAGTCTCTCCAGGCCAGGAGGAAGCGGTGGCTTGCCGTGACAGTGCTTTTTCCAGTCTCAGGGGTTTGCCTGAGGGTTATTTTTTTATATTAGTTTGGCTTATTTATCCTGTTTGCCTTCCATAGATCATGTTCACCCTCACCACAAGAGATCAGTTTTGCCATAGCAAAGTCCTAAAAATAAAAGCCATACAGGGCAGCCAGGACATCTGTAAGTGCTCTTTGACCAAACACTAGCCCAGAATCAAACATTGAGCATTACGTACCACATCACACTGTCTCACGAGAGTAAAGGTGAACATTTTAGCGTTTCTTGCTGAAAGGCATTCCCGGTTTGTGCATGCAGCGTGAGTTCTTGTTAACAAAGTCAAAGGTGTGATTCCTTTTTTAAAGCGTTTTTCTTCTCTCTCTCTCTCTCTCTTAATCAGATTTTCTTCATTACTTTTCCAGCAAAAATCTTTCTTGTTTCTCTACTTTTGTTGCATTTCTGGGCCAAATTCACCACTGGCTCAAATGGAAGCAGGTACATGATGGAGTGGATTGCATCTGCTTTCACCAGGAGTGACTTTGGCCCTCCCTACTAGGCGTTAGTTACTAGAAGAGACCGTAACACCTTCCAGTTGACATGCTGTTTAAAAAGCACTGCTCTGTGTGTGTGTGTGAGCGAACTGGACACGGACTTCAGCCCAATCCTGCAATTACCGGAGAGTGGGCTGTGGGGGCTGTGGTGTGGGTAGTTTTCAGGGGTGTCTGTGTGCAATATCCTCCCTGTGTGCTGCAGCTGGGCTTCCCCGTGGCAGTGCCTGCAGGCTATGGAGCAGGCTAAGGGGGGGTCTGCATAGGATTTGGAGCCTGAAGTAATTATCCAGGCGAAGGGGCTTGCCTTGGACTGTTCCTCAGCGACATCCGGCACCTCCAGACTCCTCCTGGGGTGGGCAAAGTCATTGCAGGGTTGGGCTAATGGTCGTAACATTTCCATATAATTCATGTTAGTTTATAATTTCATCGCGGTGTTTGCTGCTAAGTGCATTCGTGCTGAGTTCCAGGCGTTTTTCTTTCCTTTCTTTCTTTCTGTCTGTCCTTATACTCTTTTCCTTGGTTTTTTTTAATTTCTTGTTTTATTTTGCATAAACTCAGGAGCCTGCCTGCAGCCGTGCTTGGGGGGTATGCGTGTCTCCAGACTGAAATAACCCTTTCTTTCTCCAAACCTAGGATGGAAAGAGGATGTTTGGCACCTACTTCCGGGTTGGTTTTTATGGAACTAAATTTGGAGACCTGGATGAGCAAGAGTTTGTTTACAAGGAACCCGCGATAACCAAGTTAGCTGAAATTTCCCATAGGCTCGAGGTGAGACGATTGTGGCTGACCCCAAATCCTGTCTGCGAGTCGCAGTCGAACTATTTTGCATCAGTTATTTACGAGCTGCGTTGCCAAATGACAGGAAGAGGCGGAAAGGAGACTCGTTGGGCAAAACCAGCGCGGTGCTTCTTGGAGCCTGACGCGAGGCTGAGCTTAGAGAAACGGTCACTTGGGCAAACAGTTTGCAGAGCCCCGTGCAGTGACCCAGAGCTGAGCCTGGTGTCTGTTGGCTTCTTGCCGGGGCCACCTCTGCAGGAGGCAGGAGGAATAGAGGGAGAGATGTTCCGCAGGTTTTCCCTGGTCTTGCAGCAAGAGCTGCAGACCTGTCTTCATCATTTGAGAGTCTGTGCTGTGTCATGCTGTGTTTGCATTTCTCTTCAGCTGCCTGGGGTAAGTGGGATGACCTGGGCTGGAAAACAGGCTGAGATGCCTTTCAGGATCTGACTTTCAGGAAATACTACATTTTGCTGTCATTTTGTTGCCTTGACACCATGTTCCTCTACTCCTAGACACTTAACCTTCTAAGGTGGCTGAATTTCAGAGCCCCTGAGGTGGGATGTCACATATCTGAAGTTTGTTTCAGCTGTGAACAAGAAAAGGCAACTCTGGTTAATTTGGTGCAGCCCCAGGTACCACCCAGTGGTGATCTGTACCGTGCAGGGGTTAGTCTGGCCTAGTCTTGGGCCAACTAACCTGTGTCTAGATGGCATCTCAGCACAGTTTGGGGGTAGACTGTTCCCAGTAAGCACTGTGAGCAGATGAGGCCATCCCCAGCGGGAGAAGTGTGTTCAGAGGGCAGACCTGGCCCTGTTTTATGTGTCGTGATAGATCTGCTGTCACATTGTTGCTCACAACAATCTGGCTGCTGTCACGTTGCACTGAAAGCAGCGGCGTTGTTGGAGGTTTAAACACATGAAACTGAGTTCAGCATCCGGCCGTTTGCCCAACCTGGCAAAGCCGTGCTCTGATGCGACACCTGATTTCCAGGCAGATCCTGTATTGCCCCCAGTTTTCAGCTGAGCCCGCAGAAATGGCTCGTCCAGAACCACGCAGCCTGGGTGCGCAGTTGGAAGGCTCCCGAGTTCTCCTGCCGTGCAGGGCGTTGGGCTTGTTTTTTCCTGCTGCCCCTGGAATGCGACAGATTTCATTCTCCTGGGTTAAGATCACATCCAGCCGTGGCTCGGCTGCTGTTGAAGGCACGGGGCGCCTCACCTCCCCTGAATATGCCTTTGTCTCTCCAACCCCCATCTCTGGTGACTGCATTTGATGGTTTCTCTCAATGCGTTTGCTCTTGATTGTAGGGATTTTATGGAGAACGGTTTGGTGAAGATGTGCTTGAAGTGATTAAGGACTCAAACCCTGTGGACAAATGTAAACTCGATCGCTGCTGTTGAAGGCACGGGGCGCCTCACCTCCCCTGAATATGCCTTTGTCTCTCCAACCCCCATCTCTGGTGACTGCATTTGATGGTTTCTCTCAATGCGTTTGCTCTTGATTGTAGGGATTTTATGGAGAACGGTTTGGTGAAGATGTGCTTGAAGTGATTAAGGACTCAAACCCTGTGGACAAATGTAAACTCGATCCTAACAAGGTAAGAGCACGAGCACAGGTTTAGAAGTAGAACTGGTCCTGAATGTATGCCAACACCGCGGCACAAATCCTGCCCTGAATTTCACCCAGCAATTGTTGAATGAAATCCATGTGACTGCTCAGGGTGAGAGTTTGGGAAAACCATCCCAGCAAAGGAATGCAGCATCAGCCGCTTCGTTCCCTGCCCTCGTAATGCTGGGTGGGAGGGGAGGAGACCACAGGACTGCAGAGGCCCAGGCTGCATTTGCCACTCCGTAGTCTCTGCTGAGGACAAGGAGAGAAGGGATTTTGCCATTCTCTGGCCTCTGCCTGCAACATTTTGTCATTCTTGTGCCACATCCTTTAAGCGTAGCCGAAAAGGCAGGAGCACGCCTTGGAAACAGGACTGTGGCTCGGGGCAAGGCATCATCTGCACAGACAGGAAGGAGCATGAGAGGACAGGGGCAGTGGGCTGTATTTTGTCCAGTCCAGAAACGGCTGAGCAGCTACCAGCACGCCCAGTCCCTGTCAGTGTGATTTTTCTGAGTAAAGGCAAAACCCAGGCCTAGTTCTTGTAGAGGTGACTTCAAGAGGGAAGTGAGACTGGGTTATGGCACTGCTAAAAATGCTGGAAAGGGGCTTTTTACAAGGGCTGAGAGAGTTGGGGGGTTCAGCCTGGAGAAGGGAAGCTCCGGGGAGACCTTAGAGCCCCTTCCAGTGCCTGGGGG